ACTATTTATATTGTAATCAAAGTATAAAGCATTGCAGAAAATGTGTTGAGTATTTAATTTAGGTAAAGTTGAGATGATTATGATCTGTATTTACTTTGATTTCTGGTCTGCTTTTTTATTAATAAAGATTTTTGTATATGTCATGGATTACCTATTTCCGGATATTTCCGAAATTCCGGATATTTTTTCAACTTTTAGTTTTACCAGATATTCAAAACATTTTCTATTGATACAAGTTTAGATATATATTTTTCCGTACATACATGTTTAGATATATGTTTTTGTTCTTTAAGCTTTTTCACTCATCACTCATTAAAAAAAAAGAAAATAAAGTTAAAAAAAAAAAAAAAAGAAAAACTATTAAAAAAGCTATAAGCAAAATTACGAGAAAATAAAAAAAATTTATTTCGGGCATTTTACCCAAACAGTTTTCCTGGATTTTCAAAATGTTACCTGGATGATCTATGATATGTATCTAAATATTAATCGCCAAATGAATATTAGTGCACATAGTTACGCCTATTGTTCGTTTTGTTTATTACGGTTCTGCATTATGTAAAATACACTGTTTCTTAGTTGTTTCTAGACTTTTCTAAGCGCAGTTATATATTCCAAGCGGTCTTTCGAGTAAAATCAGCAAGCAAATTGGAGCTGACACTTATTTGCAAGAAGAATTGATGTTGTTTATTTTTTTAAAATGAAATTTTGTATAATTGTTAGTTTATTATATATATATATATATATATATATATATGTATATCTATATGTATTTTCTCTTAGCAAATATAGTTGAGAATAGAAAAATAAAAAAAAATTCTTCTGGAATTTGTCAAAAGAGTGTTGTGTTATGCTTCATTTTAAGGTATTTGAATATTTTTTTATTAGAAATTTTTAATTTTGTTCTTAAATGGTTTAATCTTTTTTATTAATTTTGATAAATATATACTGACTGACATAACTTTATTTTTATTGCAAAAAATCAGACTTCAAAATGCGCAATGCTGTGCATTTTTGTAGTCTGATTTTTTGTTACATTAATAATAAATGGTGGTAATAAATGTTTTTTTTATTGTTGTTAAAAGTTTGCATATATGTTTATATTATACTCAAAGTTAAAAACTTTTTGATAAAACGTGTATGTGGTGATATGTTATATAGTTGTTTTATAAATGTGTTTTTATAATAGTATGAAATATATTTTATCTAATGTGTATATGATTGTTAAATGAGGTGTTTTAATATGTTATATAACATTAAAAAAATATGTTGTGTTTTATAGTTAGTATATATGTTAATATAATGTTGTTTCCATGATTTCAAAGTGGTGTGACTTGGCAAACGTGTAGAGCAATATTTGTCAACCTTACCAATCATGCGGTGTAACTGCTTTAAGTCTAAGATTTCCTTTCAACCTTTCATGGTACGAGTTCAAAATGTCCAAGTTGATATTAAGTAGATAATGTTTAGTAGCTTAAAATTATAGGTAATCTAAATTTTTTTTTAAATTTAAAAGTAATTAATTTATTGTAATCTTTTTAAAATTGTAATTTAAAATTTAAAGCTTCGTGTTATAGATTACTTTAATTCTTAGATTGTGTCTAGCGTTAAAATATATTTATGGGTAGTTTCATGCTTTCACATAGTTTTGGTTATTGGGGTAAAAGCCATGACAACATTTTGTTATAAATTGATCTAAATTTAATTTTTATTGAAAATTTTGATATAAATAAAATTTATCTTTAAAATTGTTAATACTTTTGCTCTTTGAAAAAAAATATGTTTCTGGCTCTTCAATAAATATAAAATAATTTGTCTTGCATGAATGAACTTTGGTGTAGGATTTAATTGTGTTATTTATGTTTGTCTATCTGTAATTTATTTAGGTTATTAAAAAATTCATGTTTTCAGAGTTGTTATGAATCATAATCGAGTTGTTAAACCAAGGAAATTGTGGAGGTTTATTTATCATATATACTATATATATTATATAATTATATTGGAGGGAGTAAGTTTAAAAGCATTTTTAAATTTTTAAAAAGAAATAAAAATACTTTTCAATATATATCTGTTTTCTTTGAGGTAGAATTAAAGTTTCAGTTTTTTAAAATTTAAATTTAAAGTTTCAAGTTTTCAAAATCGTAATCTTTTTAAAATGTCTAAGTAGACATTGAATATAAAATCTTTTTAAAATTTTATAAGTAATTAGTTTATTGTAATCTTTTTTAAATAGTACTTTTAAATTTAAAGTTTCGTGTTATACATGTGAATTTTGAAAATATAGATTACTATTATTCTTAGATGGTGTCTACCATTAAAAGATATTTATGGGTAGTTTCATGCTTTCAAATGCTTTTAATAATTGGGATAAAAGCCATGACAACATTTTGTTGTAAATAAAATTTATCTATAGTATTGTTAATACTTTGGCTCTTTGAAAAAAAATTTTTTTTTCTTTTCAAAAAGTTTAATAATTTGCCTTGCATGATTGAATTTTGGTTTAGGATATAATTGTGTTATTAAATGTTTGTTTTTCTATTTATATCTAATTTATAAAGATTTAATTTATATTTAAGATATATTTAATTTATTCAATTTAAAATTAAGATATAACATTAAATATCTAATTTATAAAGATTTATTTCATTACAAAATTTATATTTACAGAGTTGTTATTAATCATAATCAAGTTGTTGAACCAAAAAGATTGTAGAGGTTTATTTATCAATTATACTATATATATTATATAAAAAATTTTGGTTTTCATATGTTTTCGCTAATAAATAGTTCTATATATATATGTTCTATATATATATGTTCTATATATATGTTCTATATATATATGTTCTATATATATGTTCTATAGGTTCATTCCTAAGATGTGAATCACTGATATATTGGTTCTTACCTAAAATGTAATGCACTGATATATTGGTTCATTCCTATGGTGATCCATAAAGTGCCTGTTTATATGATATCAAAATCTTCAAGTTTTTTGCTGATAATTTTCAGTATATTGATTTTGAAAAGCTATTATTTTCTCGATTAAGCCTAATTCTCTCGATTATATAATATATATAGTATAAAAGCTTAATATTATATTATTAAAGCGTTATGTACAATAGAAAACGGGTTATTAACCTGCGTTAATAACCCGTTTTCTATTGTACATAACGCTTTAATAAGTTTTATCACCCGTTTTGTTCAATGTTTTCTCCCAACGCATGCCTTATGACGTTGTCTGCAAAGATATGTTGTTTGTTTCTAAATTTTTTTTTTCTTTATTAGAAACAGAATAAATTTTAATTTTTGTATTAAGTTTTTGCTAATATGGTTGCAGGTTTTTCTTAACTTTTATCAAATAAACTTAAGAAACCTGTATTACTTTTGATGATGGCAAATTAATTTTGTTTTGCATTAGTTTGGATTCTTTATATATTTGTTTTGAGAATTTTTTTTTTTAATTTTTTGAGTAAGGTTTTTTTAGTTATTTATTAAGTTTTTTTATTTTATTGTTAACTTTAGAGTAGTAAAAAAAAGAAATAATTAGTAATGCTTTGATAAATATGTTTTATCAAAATGATGACATTGAAATGAATGATAGGCTAGATGAAGTTATGTATTTACAAAATGATGTAAGTGCTATAAGGCGTGTTGAAAATAGTAGTAGACGAAATGAAAGAAATAGTCTTAGGCGAGATGAAATTAATCATTTACAAAATGAAAGAATTAGGCTTAATCGAGAAAACGTTAATCGTCGCCAAAACGAAAGAAATAGGCTCAATAAAGATAATGTTAATCGTCGCCAAAATGAAAGAAGACCTGTTGGGCAAACACGAATGTATTCTATAGCGAGAAGTAATACTATTCCAGATTATAATTATTTAGGAGAAATAAATCAAATTTGTCTGTACTGTGGTGCTAAGAAATTTCCAGATGAAACACATTTTCTATGTTGCCATAATGGTAAGGTAGCTTTGCCTCCACTTTCACCAATTACACAGGCTTTACAGGATTTGTTTACAGGGAGTTATGTAGATCGTAATGCTAATGCTATTTTTTTAAAACATATTCGAAATTATAATGCCTGCCTTTCTTTTGCTTCTTTTACAGCAAATAGAGTTCAACCAATGAATCATGGGCTTCCAAGTTTTAAAATATGTGGCCAGATTTTTCATCGTGTAGGTAATCTTAGGCCAGATCAAGATATTCCACCAATATATTCTCAACTATATATTTATGATCCACTTGCTGCACTAAATTTTAGAATGCAACACTGTGGTAATGATCTTTGTTTACGTGATTTAATGTTTCAATTGCAAACTATAATTATGGAACAAAGTCCATTTGCTCTTGCATTTAAAAACATGGCTGAAGTAGAAGATGAAGAAATTCGTAAGGCGGCTATAGAAGGTTGCTCAGCTTCTGTTGTAAAAATGTCTTTACTTAAAGGCGGTGATAGACGTCGTTATAATCTACCTTCACATGATAAAGTTGCAGTTGTATTTGTTGGCAAAGATGGTGCTCCCCCAACTTCTAGGGAAATTTTTATTTACCCAAGAGGTCATCCTTTAAAAATTGTATCAAGTATGTCAGCCAACTTGGATCCTATGGTTTATCCGCTATTTTTCCCAAGAGGTCATGCTTGTTGGCATAATCAATTGGTGCATAACCCTGAGCGTGCCACACTGTTTAGAAATCATGTTACATTATCTCAGTTCTACAATTATAGACTTTCTGTTAGGCAATTTTTCTGTTTATTATTTTATGGCAAGAAACTATTTTAGCAATATGCTGTAGATGCATATGTAAAAATTGAAGGCCAGCGTCTTGCTTTTATCAGAAATAATCAAAATAAGCTGAGAAGCGAGCGGTATGATGCCTTACATGAACATATTAACAACATTGCCAATGATCGTAATATTAGACAAGGGCGAGTAGTAGTTTTGCCATCATCTTATGTAGGAAGTCCTAGAGCTTTAAAAGAAAACTTTGAAGATGCTATGGCAATTATTAAAAAGTATAGTAAACCAGATCTTCTTATAACTTTTACTTGCAACCCAAAACGGCGTGAAATAACAGAAAATTTATATCCGGGTCAGAATGCGAATGATAGACTTGATTTGGTTACTCGAGTATTTAAACTCAAGTTAAATAACCTCCTCAATGATATATTCAAACATGGTGTATTAGGCAAAGTTGTAACGCATGTTCAGGTTATTGAGTTTCAAAAGCGTGGTTTGCCGCATGCCCACATTTTACTTCATTTAGCAAATGATGATAAACTTGAAACATCACAGGATATCGATAATTTGATTTGTGCAGAAATTCCAGATCCGATAGTTAATTGTGAACTTTATGATATTATCAAAACTTGCATGATTCACGGCCCATGTGGGATACTGAATCCAAGTTCTCCCTGCATGAAAGATGGGGTGTGCAGCAAAAATTATCCTAAAGATTTTAATGCAAACACAGTAGCTGTTCATAATGGTTATCCGCGCTATAGGCGTCGTGATAATGGGTTGGTTATCAATATTAAAGGCAACAATGTAGATAACCGTTGGGTGGTACCTTATAATCCTTGGTTATCAAAGAAATATCAAGCCCACATTAATGTTGAAGCTTGCATGTCTGTAAAGGCTGTTAAATATTTGTACAAATACATATACAAAGGGCATGATTGTGCGAATGTTTTGATAAATGAACAGGTTATTCACGATGAAATAAACCTTTTCTTAGATTGTCGTTATGTTAGTGCACCTGAGGCACTGTGGCGAATATTTGAGTATCCCATAAGTCATATGTCACACACTATTATCTGTCTTAAGGTTCATCTTCCTGAGAATCAGATTGTGTATTTTAGAGAAGGAGAAGAACAAGTGGCGTTGGATCGTGCTGCTCAACGTGATACACACCTTACGGCCTGGTTTAAATTGAAATCTGAAAATGAAGGAACCCATCGCTATTCATATGTTGACATTCCATATCAATTTGTATTTGATGATAAACATTGTAAATGGAAAGTTAGACAAAGAGGTGGAAATAAGGTGATAGTAAGAATGTATAAAGTTAGTCCAACAGGAGAATTATTTTTTCTTAGATTGTTACTTTTGAAAGCAAAAGGTGCATCATCTTGGGAGGATTTGCATACTGTTAATGGAATAGTTCTTGAAACCTTTCGTGAAGCGTGTGTTTTTAATGGTTTGTTGCAAGATGACACTGAATGGCAGAATACTCTTTCTGAGGCAGTTTTAACGCGAATGCGTAAGCAAATCAGGCAGCTGTTTTCAATTATTTTAACCTTTTGTGAATCTGATGACCCTTTGCATTTTTGGAACACATACAAAGCTTTTATGATGGAGGATTTCATTCATCGCCAAGTTTTATTTATATTAGCTGAACGAGCTACTCTTCTTCAAATCGAAAAGATTATTATTCAAAGTGGTAAAACGCTATCTGATTATAATTTGCCTGTTGTTGATGAATTCATATATTTTTACTTAAAAAATTTAAATGATCATGTTCAGCAATCAATTGACGAAGCTAATAGAATGAGACCGCTTCTTAATGTCAATCAATTAAATGTAAGTAATGCTGTCCTTGCTGCATTGAACGAGCAACCAAGTGAAGAAAATCAACATTCCAGATTGTTTTTTATGGATGGACCAGCCGGTAGTGGCAAAACTTTTACATATAATTATTTGATTGCTGAAATGAGCAGTAGATGTGTTAAATCTGCTACAGCTGCCTGGACTGGCATGGCAGCAACTCTTCTTACAAATGGATCTACGCTGCACGGTTTATTTAAAATTCCTGTCCCAATACTGGATAACAGCACATGTAATATGACTCCTAACTCTATTCAGGGACAATTTTTAAGGCAAGTTAGTTTGTTTATGCTTGACGAGACATCCATGATTCCCAAACACGCTTTAAATGCAATCGATCGGTTGTTAAAAGATGTTTGCAACAACAACTTTCCATTTGGAGGAAAAATCATTCTTTTTGGTGGTGACTTTAGGCAAATTTTGCCTGTTGTGAAAAGAGGGAGACCAGCTGAAGTTGTAGAATCATGTATAAAATGTTCTTTACAGTGGCAATGGGTGCAGAAGTTTACATTAACTGAAAATATGAGAGTACGTGATGGAGAAGGAGATTTTTCCGAATGGCTGTTAAAACTTGGTAGTGGAACAATACCTGTCAAGGAGGAAGATCCTTTTAAGTGATGTATTGAAATACCGCAACAGTGCATTATTAGAGAAAACGAATCAATTGTTGAAAAAATATTTGGAGATGCTCAACAAGATGATTATGCTAAACGTGTCATTATAACACCCACTAATGTGGATTCATTGTCAATCAATGAAGAAGTGCTTGTACGTCTACATGGAGAGGTCAAAACTTATTTAAGTGCTGATCAAATAGACACTGACGATCTTAATGAAATAAATAATTTCCCTGTTGAGTTTTTGAACAGCTTAACTCCTTTAGGTATGCCTACTCATTGTTTAAAATTGAAAATTGATTGTGTAACTATGTTACTTAGAAATTTAGATCTTAAGGCTGGGCTATGTAATGGAACCCGAATGAAAGTTTATGCTCTCCAAAACAATTATATTGATGCAGAGGTTTTGACAGGTGTTTCTGAAGGTAAACGGGTATTTGTTCCTCGAATTCAGTTAGCTCCATCAGATTCTAATTTACCTTTTGTTCTAAAACGTCGTCAGTTTCCTGTCAGATTGGCTTATTCAATGACAATCAATAAAAGTCAAGGTCAAACATTTGATAGAGTTGGGGTATATCTAAAAAAACTGTGTTTCTCCCATGGTCAACTATACGTTGCATGTTCAAGAACTAGAGCATTTAAGGTAGTAGAGCACAAAAAAGACACTTTTCATGAAAAAATTTAAAAAAAGTATTAAAAATATGCAGAAATGCTTCACTAAGAAAAATGAAATATTTTTACCAAAAAAATTTTTTTAAAAACTTTACCAAAAATCCATAATGGCGATAAAACAGTGTAAATAAAGACCTAATTCTGAGGTTTTCAAAACACGTTATCTTGAGATAGATTTAAAAACCATGAATCAAACTTTCCAGATCTGTTGATGACATTATTTTACTTCATTTAACAGATAGATTTTTAGTTAGTCCTTTTATATATAAAGATATGACCTTTTTTTTAAAATAAGTTAAAATTTGTACAATTTACAAGCAGTTTAATGAAGTTAAAACTAAAAATAATGAGTTTTAAAAAAAATTAAATAAAATCTATCTGTCAAGTGAATTCTAATGTTGTTAGGAATATGTCCTGAAAATATCAGAACAAAAGCTTTATTCAATCATGAAAAATGTTTTGAAATCTTGATAAAATATGAAAAACTCTACTTGCAGAAAAAACAAAAATCATGATAAAATTTTTCTGAAATATGTATGTCTTGAGGTTCCTTTGCTTTATGATTTTTGCTGAGTTTTTTTTTATATTGCTCTTAGTTTTTTTCTCTGTTTCTTTACCGCAATAGTAGTCTTACGTTTCATTCGTTTTACTCATATACTGTCTGCTAAACTTGTTGTCAATTGTATATCATTTTTTTGTATATCAAAAAGCTGTAATCTTTTTAATATACCATTGCTACCATCATTGAAATAAAAAATAGAGTTTACACCCATTTCTACAACATCTTTACTAACATATGTGATTTTAGGTACCTTAAACCATATGAATGAGTTGAACGCTTCATTTGAACTTTGTGTTTGACCATGCAAACATTTCAACACTATTCAATTTTCTGTAAATCCATAAAAATGGGTGTAATGAGACTTTAGATTGATAGAGGAATAGATATATTTGATTTATAAGTTTTACTTGGAGTCCAATATTTGCATCAAAATGATTCATTTTGATGCAAATATTGGAAAAATATTGTGTCTCTCAGGATTTGGAATATCTGTTATTAAAAAAATGTTTACAAAAACAGCTTCTCGTTTTTGTTTGTTTGTTCTTTTAAAGTTCATTTTCTTATTTCTTATTTATAATTTATTAGTAAATAATAATAAATCTTTAATCCAATACTAACAACAATAGAGTCTAATATAATGGTAACAACATAAATCTTTGAATCGTGTTTCAACAAAACTCTTGACATTCAAATTTTTTTATAAACAAAGTTGATAAATAAACAAATAAAAGCATGATAGACACAACAAAATGATAAATTAGCTTGCAAGTTTTGCTCAACTTATAGTAAACGAAGGTATGTTTGTGGTTGCTACGGCGTTGTTAAGGTAAATAATATTGCAAATATAGATTTTTATCACATTTCCAAAAATAAATTTTGTTTCATACATACATCAAACGAAAGAGGATAAAATTTTGAATAAGATGAATTAAAAAAATATATTTTCATATTTTGATCAAAAATTAGTATTTTAATTGTGCTCTACCACCTTAATAGTTTGTTTTTCAAAATTGATAAACATCCTATTCAAGGTATGGTAGGTAAAAAATACTACACAAATAATGTTATATTTTCTAATGTTTTTAATTTATAGTCTTAATATTTTCATTTCTAAAATTTACTGTTTGTAGGTTGTGAGCACAATTTGTATGTGTAACTTTAATATTTTTATTTTTTTCATAGTTTTTGATAAATATATTTGTCATTTAATATTTTTATATATTGTGTTTATATGTGTTATATAAAGTCATATTTGTTTATAGTTGTATATATGTTTACATTATGTTGTTTCCATGTTTTCAAAGTGGTGTGACTTGGCAATATGTTAAGCAAGATTGTTAACCTTGCCAGCCAAGCGGTGTACTTATAGCAGAGTTGTGACTTGGCAGCATTTTGTGCCAGGCGGTGTTACTGCTTTAGAGCTAGGTTGTGTTGTCTAGCTTTTTTTAATTATTCTGGAAACACATAATGTCTGGTAATGTTTTGTGTAATGTGTATAAAAGAGCATGCAACCTTGATCCTTAAATTTGAAATAATTGAATAACTAATATTGAATATAAAAGCAAATATACTATATTAAAGTTTAGTAAAAGGATAAATAAAGATAACTCAAAATTGGTTTTTTAGTTTCGCCTTTCATATTCTTTTGGTTTGTTATTTTCCACTGGATTTTAGAGTCAAGGGTGTAAATATTAGTTATATAGGTGTAAATATGTGTTAATGTTATCTGTTATTGTTATAATGTTGTAATGTATTGTTATAATGAATAATATTGTTATATTGTTGTGATGTTTTGTGTTGATAGACAGCTTGGCTTAGCTTCCCGTTTTAATATACTTTTCTATACAATCCTTCTAATATGGAATCACGTAGCTTTTTAAATATGTTTAATTGTCGTTCCTATCGGTAATAAATATTTTAAATTATTTGATATGGTTTTCCTTACAATAGGCTATGCTCGGCTCCTTGGTGCTGTTAATGATGGCTTCAACTTTGTTTTTTTAAGAAAAATGTGTTTTACATATGCTTCTGTTTTAAAATATTTTTGTTACATTTTTAACTATAAATCATGTAAATAACTATATACCCGGTGGGAAATGAGCTAGCGACTAGTTAGCGAGTAGCTAGCTCTATAGCGATTTCCTAGCAATTTTTTTTTTCTTATTTTATTTTTTGCAAATGTCTTTAACATCTTTAAAAATTCGATTTTTAGTGTTGAGTCTATTATAACTATGAAAATAATTGAACTTTAAACATTGCGATTTTGTAGCAATGTGTCGCTAGCTACATATCGTAGCTTTGTAGCTAGCTACAAAATATCTACAAATCTATACCTGGTTGATAGCTACATATCAAAAATTTTTAGACAACGGTTTTATTACGATATGACGCTAGGTACAATAGCCAGTGGATCTTCAGCTTGTTAAGCTGGCTGTCCTCGTTGCCAAATCGCTGTCTTTATCTTTACAAAAATCGATAGCTTTTCGCTAACTTAAAAAAGCTAGCGATCCTCGTGGCCAAATCGCTGTCTTAATCGTAACGATTATAGCTAGCTATTCGCTAGCCGACTTCCCACCGGGTATCATGTAAATTTCTTTTAAAGATATGTAAACTTGATACTTGCTTTTTTACGGATTTTCAAAAAGTGAACAAAGGTTTAAATATATTTTTTAACTGTCTTATATGATTTTATCAATTTTATTAAAGCTGAATAATTACTTCAAAAATATTGAGTAAAATCCAATTGCTTTTATTATTAATCTGATCTATAAAAAAATTAATGAAATAAAACGAATAATTTAACGCCAAGTTAGGGCAAAATGTATTCCGGACATTTTATAAAATTAGTATAAATATGGATTGGAGGTATGCTGAAATAAATATGTTGATACACGTTAGCTGTTAAAGTAAATCCATATATTCCTTTATTGTTTTTTTATAAACAAGTTTCTGCTGGATTACTAATTAAAAAAAAGATTGGTTTAATAATAATCTTTATCATAATAATATAGGATCCGTATGCAGGGCTAAGCCCTTTTGAAATTGCGATATATTTTTCAACTTATAGTTTTTCCGGATATCCAACTTCTATGCCTACAAGTTTGGGTGTAATATTTTAGATGTTTTAAAAGTATTTAAAAAGTATATTAATAACATTAAAAAGTTTAGGTGCATAAGTGACATATTTTTAAGCTCTTCACTCAGTAAAATGAAAAGTTTAAAAAAAAATAGAAACGACTCATCTTAAAGCAAAATTAAGAGTAGAATATATTTACTTAAACAATTTACAAATATATTTACTTTACCCAATATTTACTTAAACAATTTTACGGAATTTGAAAATTTGACATCGATATTCTGTGCATATAATTCAAGTCATTTTTAACTACTACATGGTTGTGATTTGCGCATTCAATGTCTAAACATTGCAAAAGAAATGGTTAACTTTATCTTTAATGATGCTAAGAGTTCTCTTAAACTAAAAAGCCAAGAAAAATAAAAGTGAACACAACTAAAAAAATGTATAAATAAATTTATATTTTATTAGAGAAAGTAAATAAATATCAAATTGTTGGTAATGATTTATTTACTACTAACCCGTATTACGGGTTGCTTACTGCTAGTATTGTATAAAACTATGATTCTATGTATATTAAATAGCTATTTATTTTGTAGCATATATATTTACTGCAGAATCTGAGTAGAAATTGATTATAATACATGAAAATAAACACATAAAACCTCCTATAAGTCAACAAAATAGAAAGAGAAAAGAAAAAGCCTTTTTGAAGAGCCGTCTTTGCCATCATTGCCATTGTGGGAGCCACCAAAGCTTCCTGATTCCAATTCAGTATACATTTAAATTTTTTTTTATCTTATTTGTAAAAATAATAATTTTTTTATTTCATTTTTATGATTTTTTCGCTTTTTTAATTACAATTTTTAAATTTCAAAAAAAAAACACGAAGCTAATTGGTGGAAGAAATGCAAGTGACTTTAAAAAATGCTTTAAAAACAGACATGCAAACTAAAAGCGTAAGTTTAAAGGACCAGTCGAAACTTTGTCTTTTGATGCAGCTTACTATAAATTTCAAACTGCCACTGAATCCAGTATGACTACCATAATTGCGAAACACTTGAAAAAAGTCTAAAGATCGCTATTTTGCTGCAAGAAAGAGAAATTCTTCTTTAACAAGTGATATACAAGTACACAGTCCCGTTAGAAAAAAAAAAGAAAGTTAAACACTGACTCGTGTAGTGATTCCAGTTGATTTTTTTTTTTTTTTTATTTGTTCTATAATTATTTATTCCCCTTTATTTTTTAGATATTTTATTTGTTATAACTTTTTTAGCAAGTATTTTTGAAAGTTGATTAAGATTAAAAAAAAACTAAAATTTGACAGAAATTTTATTCTATTATCTTTTTAAATATGTTTAAAAATTATTAATTTAATTTAAGCAAAACTATTTAGTTGTTAGTGGCTTTTTATTTTTCAAAAGTAATCTATATATTTTCATTTGACATTTTATAATGGCTTTAACATTTATAACTTTTTATAAAAACAAGTATAAACATTTTGTATTTAATTTGTTATAAATGCAATCCTTATTTCAATGGTTATAATTCACTCCCCTGAAAAATATAGCACGCAATTCTTTGAGCATATCTTCTAGCCTAACAGTTCTAGTTATTCTTACGACTTTTTATTAGCTAGTCGCTAGCTTATATAGCTGGCGATATCGTGGCGAAATTGTTGTTTTTTATAGTCACGAATTCTGTTAGCTATTTGCTACCTTATTTAGCTAGCGGGTCGTTAGCTTATCAAGCTAGCAATCCTTGTGGCCAAATTGCTGTCTTTATGGTAACGATTTGCCGCTAGCTGTTCGCTAACTTGTTTAGCTAGCAAATCCTCGTTGGCAAATCGCTGTCTTAATCGTAACGAATATCGCTAGCTATTCGCTAGCCGATTTCCCACCGGGCACATTACAAAAACGTATGGTAATAGACACTTTTGTTGTTTACTTTGATTATTATCTACAACACCGCGCAGGTAAAACGTCAATTATGCCGCGACATCATCCGAAACAAATAAATTAAATAAAAAAAATATTAAAGATATTATTGTAAAAAAAAAAGTGTCTTATAAACATCTTAAAAAAATTGCAATAAGGTATTTATCATTAAGATGTTGTAGATAAAATAGCTTTTAATTGCTGTAATTGTTGTAGTATCGGCTAATGTGGTTAAATTAGTTGTTGCTGTTGTAAGTTCAGTTGATGTAGTTTAAGTGTTTGAATAAACTGTGGTTGCTGTAACATCGGTTGTTGGGGTTGTAGCTTCGGTTGTTGTGGTTGACTCAGCTGTTGTTGAAGTTACGGTTGTTGTGGTTGACTCAGCTGATGTTGTTGTAGCTTTAGGTGTTGCTGTTGTAGCTTCGGTTGTTGTGGTTGTCTCAGCTGTTGTTTTAGTAGCTTTAGGTGTTGTTGTTGAAGCTTCTGTTATCATGGTTGATTCTGCTGTAGTTATTGTAGTTTCAGGTGTTGTTGTGGTAGTTTCGGTTTTTGTTGTTGACTCAGCTATTGTTGTAACTTCGGCTGTAGTAGTTGACCCAGCTGTGGTTGTAGAAACTTCAGGCGTTGCTGTTGTAGCTTCGGCTATTGTGGTTGTCCCAGCTGTGGTTGTTGTAGCTTCAGGTGTTGTTGTTGTAGCTTCAGGTGTTGTTGTTGTAGCTTCAATTGTTGTGGTTGGCTTTGCTCTGGTTATTGTAGCTTCAGGTAATGTTATTGTAGCTTCACGTGTTGTTGTTGTAGCTTCACTTGTCGTGGTTGACTCTGCTGTGGTTATTGTAGTTTCAGGTGTTGTTGTGGTAGCTAATGGTTAATGTGGTTGACTTACCTGTTGGTATAGCTTCGATTGTTGCTGTTGATTCAGCTGTTGTTGTTTTAGCTTCAGGCGTTGATGTTGAAGCTTCGAATCTTGTGTTTACCTCAGCTGCGGTTGTTATAGCTTCAGGTGTTGTTGTTGTAGCTTGAGATGTTGTGGTTGACTCTGCTGTTGTTGTTGTAATTTCAGGTGTTGCTGTTGTAGCTTCAGTTGTTGTTGTTGACTCAGCGGATGTTGTAACTTCATTTGATGTAATTGATTCAGCTGTTGTTGTTGTAATTTCAGGTGTGTGTTGTTGTAGCTTCAGTTGTTGTGGTTGTTGTAGCTTCAGGTATTGTTGCAGTAACTTCGTTTGTTGTGGTTGACTCACCTGTTGTTGTAGTTTCGATTGTTGCTGTTGATTCAGCAGTTGTTGTTATAGCTTCATGTGTTGTTGTTGTAGCTTCGGTTGTTGTTGTTGACTTAGCTGTGCTTGTTGTAGCTTCAGATGTTGTTGTTGTAGCTTCGGTTGTTGTGGTTGCCTCAACTGTTGTTGTTGTAGCTTCGGTTAGTACAGTAGGAGCTTTAGTTGTTGTGGTTGACTCTTCTGTAGTTGTTGTAGTTTTAAGTGTTGCTGTTGTAGCGTCGGTTGTTGTTGTTGACTCACCAATTATTGTAGCTTCGATTGTTTAGGTTGACTCAGCTGTTGTTGTTGTAGCATCAGGTGGTTGTTGTGGCTTCAGTTGTTGTGGTTTACTCTGCTGTGGTTATTGTAGTTTCAGGTGTTGTTGTGGTAGCTTCGGTTGTTGTAGTTGACTCAGGTGTTGTTTTTGTAGCTTCAGTTGCTGTGGTGGACTCTGCTGTGAATAATGTAGTTTCAGGTGTTATTGTTGTAACTTTGGTTGTTGCTGTTGTATCAGCTGTGGTTGTTGTAGCATCAGGTGTTGTTGTTGTAGCTTCAGTTGTTGTGGTTAATTCTTTTGTGATTATTGTAGTTTCAGGTGTTGTTGTTACAGCTTCGGTTGTTGTTGTTGACTCATCTGTTGTTGTAATTTCGTTTGTTGTAGTTGACTCAGATCTTGTTGTTGTAACTTTAGATGTTGTTGTTGTAGCTTCGGATTTTGTGGTTGACTCAGCTGTTGTTATAGCTTCGATTATTATAGTTGACTCAGCTGTGGTTGCTGTAGCATCAGCTGTTATTATAGCTTCGATTATTATGGTTGACTCAGCTGTGGTTGTTGTAGCATCAGGTGTTGTTGTTGTAGCTTCAGTTGTTGTGGTTAACTCTTCTATGGTTTTTGCAGTATCAGGTGTTGATGTGGCAGCTTCGGTTGTTGTAGTTGACTCAGCTGTTGTTGTAGCTTCAAGTGTTGTTAATGTAGCCTCTGTTGTTGTTGTTGACTCAGTTGTTGTTGTTGACTCAGCTGTTGTTGTAATTTCGTTTGTTGTAGTTGACTGAGCTGTTGTTGTAGCATCTTTAGGTATTGTTGTTATGGCTTCAGTTGTTGTGGTTGACTCAGCTGTTGTTGTAGCTTCGATTATTGTGGCTGACCCAGCTGTTATTGTTGTAGCTTCGGTCGGTACGGTAGGAGATTCAGTTGTTGTGGTTGACTCTTTTGTGGTTGTTGTAGTTTGAGGTGTTGCTGCTCTTGCTTCGGTTGTTGTGATTGACTCAGCTGTTGTTGTAGCTTCAATTATCGTGGTTGACTCAGCTGCTGCTGCTGTAGCATCAGGTATTTTTGTTGTAGCTTCGGTTGTTGTGGCAGCTTCGGTTGTTGTTGTTGACTTAGCTGTTGTTGAAATTTTGTTTGTTGTATTTGACTCAGATGTTGTTGTTGTAGCTTCCGATGGTGTTATTGTAGCTTCGGTTGTTATGGTTAACTCAGCTGTGGTTTTTGTAGCTTCAAATGCTGTTAATGCAGCCTCTGTTGTTGTGGTTGACTAAGCTATTGTTTCTGTAGCTTCGGTTGGTATAGCAGGACCTGCAACTGTTGTAGTTGATTCTTCTGTGGTTGTTGTAGCTTCAGGTATTGCTGTTGTAGCTTCAGTTGTTGTTGTTGACTCAGCTGTTGTTGAAATTTTGTTTGTTGTAGTTGACTTAGCTGTTGTTGTAGTAGCTTCAGGTGTTGTTGTTGTAGCTTCTGGTGTTATTGTTGTAGTTTCGGTTGTTGTGGTTGACTCAGCTGTTGTTGTTGTAGCTTTGATTGGGACTGTAGGAGCTTCAGTTTTTGTGTTTGACTCTTTTGTGGTTGTTGTAGTTTCAGGTGTGTCTGTTGGAGCTTCAGTTATTGTGGTTGACTCTCCTGTGGTTATTGTAGTTTCAGGTGTTGGTGTTGTAGTTTCGGTTGTTGTGGTTGTCTCAGCTGTTTTTGTAGTTGACTCAAACGATGTTGTTATTGCTTCGGTTGGTATGGCTGGACCTGCAGCTGTTGTGGTTGTCTCTTCTGTGGTTGTTGTAGTTTCAGGTGTGTCTGTTGGAGCTCCAGTTATTGTGGTTGACTCAACTTTGGTTGTTGTAGTTTCAGGTGTTGCTGTTGTAGTTTCGGTTGTTGTTGTTGTCTCAGTTGTTGTTGTAGTTCACTCAAACGTTGTTGTTATTGCTTCGGTTGGTATGGGAGAACCTGCAGCTGTTGAGTTGTCTTTTTTGTGGTTGTTGTAGTTTCAGCCATTGCTGTTGTAGCTTTGGTTGTTGTTGTTGACTCAGCTGATGTTGTAATCGTTTGTTGTAGTTGACTTGTTGTAGTTTGTTGTAGTTGACTGTCAACTTGTTGTTGTTGTAGCTTCGGTTTGTACGGTAGAACGAGCTTCAATTGTTGTGGTTGACTCTTCTGTGGTTGTTGAAGTTTCAGGTGTTGCTATTGTAGCTTCGGTTGTTATGGTTGTCTCAGCTGTTGTTGTGGTTAACTCAGACATTGTTGTTGTAATTTCGGTTGGTATAGTAGGACCTGCAGCTGTTGTGGTTGACTCTTCTGTTGTTGTTGTAGTGTCAGGTGTTGCTGTTGTAGCTTCGGTTGTTGTTGTTGACTCAGCTGTTGTTGTAATTTCGTTTGTTGCTGTTGTTGCTTCAGGTGTTGTTGCTGTAGCTTCAGGTGTTGTTGTTGTAACTTTGGTTGCTGTGGTTGACTCAGCTGTTGTAGTTGATGATTTGGTTGGTACGGTAGAAGCCTTAGTTGATATGGTTGACTTTTCTGTTGTTGTTTTAGTTTCAGGTGTTGCTGTTGTAGTTTCAGGTGATGCTGTTGTAGTTTCGGTTGTTGTTGTTGACTCAGCTGTTGTTGTTATTTCGATTGTTGTTGTTGTAGCTTCAGGTGTTGTTGTTGTAGCTTCAGGTGTTGTTGTTATAACTTCGGTTGCTGTGGTTGACTCAGCTGTTGTTGTAATTTTGGTTGTTGTAGTTAAATCAGATGTTGTTGTTGAAGCTTCAGGTGTTGTTGTTGTAGCTTCTGTTGTTGTGGTTGACTCAGTTGTTGTTGTTGTAGCTTCAGATGTTGTTGTTGTAGCTTCAGATGTTGTTATTGTAGTTTCGGTTGTTGTGGTTGTATCAGCTGTTGTTGCAACTTCGGTTGTTATAGTTGACTCAGCTGTTGTTGTTGTAACTTTGGTTGATATGGTAGAAACTTGATTTGTTGTACTTTCAATTACTGGCTTTGTAGAGTTGTTGTTACTGAATAGTTGTAATTTGTAGTGTATGTGTTACTGGTTGTATTTAAACATGATTGAGATATTAGTGAACAAAATGTCGCTCTATAGTGTTTATTACAAAATTCTTGCAAGCAGGAACAAGAATATTTATCTAAAAGAAATTATTTGGTTTGGTGTGTATACATATATATATATATATATATATATATATATATATATATATATATATATATATATATATATATATATATATATATATATATATATATATATATATATATATATATATATACAAACATGCTTCATAAGTTACAATTGATATTATCAGGTGTAACGAAGTCAGTAACGATTTCTGTATTTAAAAAATTCGTTTTGGATCCATTAGAAATTTTAATAATTTTCACAATAGCTACCATAGTTACATTTTTATAACGGGTGTGGAGTCGTAAAAAAAACGTACTGAATCTGACTCCGGTTGTTAAAATATTAAGAGTATGACTCCGACTCCGACTCCAAAGCAAAATTTTTGAAAAGTACTATGAACTCTTCAAAAAATATTAGGGTAAAAGCATCTATACCTGGTCTGCACCAATTCCTGGCCACTTTTCAAAGAAGTTTCTCGCTTAAATATTTAACTGGTTTTCTAATTTTTTTAAAATGAAAATATGAACAAACTTTTATATTTGGAACCTCCGTTTGTTACATAAAGGCGAGTTTCCACTCATCCGTTTTTCTACGGGAACGGGATAGGAAAGGAAAAAATAATCACCTGAGCATGCGTAATAAAGGTTTTTATTTGTCCGAAAGAAAACTGTGCATGCTCACGTGATTATTTTTCTGTTCCCTTTCCCTTTTCCGTTGAAAAACGGATGAGTGGAAACTCACATTAAGAGCATCGCTACGTTAATTTATTTGAGTTTGAAATTATACTAGTTTTGTATGTGCTGTGGCAAAGATTCCTACCTTAAAAACAAAAATGCGAAAAAACGTTTCGCTGATTTACCTTGTTTTCTAACAATCATAAAATTTAATTAAATTGTAATGTTTTATTCTATTGATAAAAACATTTTACTTTGATTTGAAATGATTACTACTTCGATTGGTAGTGTTTATGCTGTCATTGTATATATTTTTGTTGCCCAAAAATAATGACCTAATCGTGGCCACATGTCAACCAATCTTGGCAAAGAATAAGATCTAGTTATAATATAAATTTGGGTAGATTAAAAATTAAATTTTTTTTTAAAGTTGAATCTAATTTTTATTATTTACATGATTTATTCTATTTTATTATTTTCATGCTAAAGTATATGTAGTTATCACATAAATATAGCAAGTTGATGTTTTTTTTAAGACGGCTACTATTTTGAAAACATTAAAGTGTTGTGAAGCGTTTTAAAGTCTATTGCTTGTTTAGCTATTAAAAAAAGAATTGAATTAGCAAAAGTGAAAATTTATGCAGAACTTACTTAATTAAACTCGAGACAATAAATTTGTTTTGTTTTTTATTTAAATTTAAAAACATTGTCACTACTTTTACTTCGTAAAACATAATGGCCAGGAATAAGTTCGTAATGGCCATGTTTTGGCGTTATACTAACGTTGTATTTATGTTAAAATTGCGTTTTACGTTACTTGAAGTTTGTTCAACTTTGAGTCATGGCGTACTTAAATAACACGACCTGATTTGTTGCATGTTCCGTTCAAAGTTAAGAGGCCAGCTTTTTACGACTCAAGTATAAAAACTTTATTTTTTTTATGGTTAAAAGTCTTGTTTGCACGATAATTATTTTATTTTTATTTTATTAAAATGGTTTAATAATAGTTAGATTTTCTTTGAGTACTTACATTATTTTGTGCTAGATTTTTTGTTAACTGATTGCCTGCTTCAGTTCATTTCAATAACACAGAATACTAAAATAGGCTTTCAGATAGCTATATCAACACATACCAACATGGTACTAAAAATAATCTTGCATATTGCTAAAACTACCCACAACTCTCCATTGGAAATAATTTTAAAGGTTTGTAATTTTGTGTTTATTATAATTACAATTTTTAAGTAGAAAACATAAATTTTTTTTTAAAATATTTACACTGCAAAACAAGGTTTTGCAATGTAAATACTCTATTATGTTGCATGTCTTAAACATACAGCAATTAAAATGCAACAAATCAGGCCAATTATTTACAGTAGGCAAGAAATATCAGGCATACCAACTGTTTTGGAGTCAATAGCTGTTAATAAAATTATATTTTTATTTATTGCCTAATAAATGCTTATCGTATTTCTTTATTTAAACGGTTTCGCAGTGGTAAAAATTACAAATTGAAAAGCTATAGTATATTAGAAAAATTATTGACAAAATTTGGTATTAAGTGATTATTTGCTTCATGTAGGTAAGATGTACTTCCAAAAAGCAGCCCAAAATGGTAATCAATTTTATTAAGATTGAAAAAATAATTTTCATAAAGAATTAATTTTTTGTTTTATGATTGCAGGGTTTCAAAAATTATTTGTTTTGAAATCCTTACCTAAATTTTACATAACAGGTTTTTTTTTAAAAAAAGAAATTATTGAGTGTATTACCTCAATGCACCAATCTGAGTTTAAGATAAAAGTTGTTGTTTCCGATAACCATTCTATAAATGTTAATGCGTTTTTATAGTTTCATAAAGCATATACTGGAGATGGAAAATTATTAATTTACATTTAGTTTAGAAAAGGAGTGTTTAAACTAGGGATGTACCTAAGCTTCGGCTTCGGCATGCCAAAGCTTCGGTTCGGCCGAAGCCAGGTCAATTTTTTTGCCGAATCTTTGGCATCAGCAAAATTTGTGAGTATGTTTAATTTTTTAAAATTTCATTTAACCATATTAATAAAAATTTTCAAATTTTCATCGTAAATTTACAGAAATTGGTTAGGTGTCACTTATATAGATACAAACTAGTCAATAGAGTGATAAAAGCTTCAACTCTATAGAGTTGAAGCTTTTATCACAGATACTTAATATTTGATTTCAGATACTGATGCAGGTTTATCCATTACAGAAACAAAAGAAGAATGATTACTAAGATTTCAGAGTGTAAAAAAATAAAAGAAGCTAAAGAAAGTGTTATGTAGTGTAAAGTTAAAAATAATCAAAAAAAAAACATTCAGAGAAGTAGAAAAAAGATATTGAAATAAATAGCAATAAAAAGATAAAGTGTGTTTGTAAGATTTTCTATGTTGTAGATACAACTAGATCAGCTAAGAGTGTTTATTTAAAGAAAGAGTGAGCAAGTGCAAAAGATAAATTTACTCTAGTAATGCTCAGAGATTTTTATCCACTTCTATTAACAAAAGGTGCATTAAAAATAAAAATAAAATATACAGCACATGAAAAGATGCTATGTAACACTAATATGGTTTGCACACAGAAAAAGTAGAACTAAAAGTAGGAAAATTTGGGGTGAATGTTTCAAAAAAGTTTAAGTTTTAAAAAAAAAACGCTCGGTGTGGTCAAGTATCAGAAACGACATAATGAGAAATTTTCTAACAGGGGGGCTGAGAGCTTTTGCCCTGCCTGGGAAAGCAACCCTAACTGGCGTCCTCATTTTTATACAATTTTTCAATATTATTAATCAAGGACCTTAGTTTTGATACCTTTTTTGTTTTACATCCCTCCTGATCTGAATGCTGATTAAATTTTAAGTTTTTAAATTTTAAGAATTCGTATATCGCCCGAAGCTTTAGCTTCGGCAAAATTTTAGCTTCGGTATATCCCTAGTTTAAACATACTTGTTATTTGATAAACTCCGTTTTTGTTTTTTTCTTTTTGTTGAAGTTACTGCTGATTACATTACAGGGAATATATTTCTTAAACTTTGTAAAAGATCATTTATTAAACAGGCAAGAAAAAACAAGAAAAATTAATTATCAAGTCACATATATGTTTAGAAACGACAAATAAGTTGTCAATATTTACAATATTTGACGAAACAACTGCAACTGTAATTTAAAGTTATTTTTCTGAAAGAAATAACGCAGCACAATTTTTATCATTGTTTTATAATTTATTTATCATACTTAATTCAAAGCAGAAACTTAATTCATCTAATCAAACTCAGCATTGCTGCTATGAAAGGTGAAAACAAAGCCACACTTTATAGAGAAATTGCAAATTGTATTGAAATTTGATCAAAATAAAATTTCATAAATACTTTACATTAACCAAACAAACTTCTTGTGCTCTAATTACAACACAACAACAATCGTATTTCTTATGCATGATTTTCTTGAAGAAGGCTTTACATTTGTTCATAGTTCAAATTTACAAAGTGATCCATTGGAACTAGCTTTTAGTATGTATAGTTAAATGACCAGTAGTAGACTTTTTGTGAGTCTTTTAAAAATATGGATTAGTAAAAAGATTTTGATTTTCCCAGTAAATATTTACCAGAATTTTGATAATCCTTCAAAAATATTATGCAAGATGTTGCTTAGTTTGTCTACATATACTACTGTTAGCTTGAAGATAGTACAGATATATATACTAAAGCAAGTAATAATGGTAAAAATTAACAAAAAGATTTTGATGTTAAAGTTATGATCAATAAACGTTACTTTAAAAAGAGAAGAACTTATATTCAACTCAATTCAACCTCTGTCTAATTTTATTTGTCATCTTTTTAGTATTTTATGTTATTTCTCTTATTCTAATAAAACATTACAGTCATTCTAATAAAACATTGCAGTCATTTTAATAAAACATTACAGTCATTCTAATAAAACATTGCAGTCATTCTAATAAAACATTGCAGTCATTCTAATAAAACATTGCAGTCATTCTAATAAAACATTGCAGTCATTCTAATAAAACATTGCAGTCATTCTAATAAAACATTGCAGTCATTCTAATAAAACATTGCAGTCATTCTAATAAAACATTGCAGTCATTCTAATAAAACATTGCAGTCATTCAAATAAAACATTGCAGTCTTTTTCAATTAAAAATTTGCAAAACAAATTTTCAAGATTTAATCTAACAGTTTCAATTTTACAAATGAAAACCACCAAAAATGGGGAATCAAATATAAATCTCGTATTGTTAATAATATTTTTTATAAAAACATGCAAGAAAAAAATTACATATTCATTGAGAAAAGATCAAGTAAAAGATTTCCAAAAAAGACAAAGACAAAATAAACATTTCTGCAAATATTTTTTTTTTTAATTTCAATTATAAAAAATACAAAACTATAAACCTTTTTTTTGTTCAATCGAGAGTTTTAGGCAATCTTAGCAACATGAAAGATTATTTTTAGTAGCATGTTGGTATGCGTTGATATAGTTATCTGAAAAACCTATTTCAGTATTCTGTGTTGTTGGATCAAACTGAAGCAGGCAATTAGTTAACAGAAAATCCAGAACAAAATAATGTAAGTACTCAAAGAAAATCTAACTATGATTAAACCATTTTAATAAAATAAAAGTAAAACAATTATAATGCAAACAAGACTCTTAACCATAACAAAAATGAAGTTTTTATATTTGAGCCGAAAAAAAACTGACTTCTTAATTTTTTACTGAAAATGCAACAAATCAGGCTGTGTAATTTAAGTAGGCTATGGTTGAGTCAACGTAATCTCTTTAACGTAATATTTTTACGTTAAGTTAACGTTGACACAACGTAAAAAAAAAACATAAAAGTGGAGTGAAGTATTTGTATTAGGGTATTCATTATTTTACTTTTTCTTCTTTTAATCTCATTTTAAGCTTTAAAGGGTTGTGGTTATTTTATATTACTTTAATTAAATCAAAATTTATTGGTAAGTTTAGATTTTTTAATCATAAAAAGGAGTAATATGTTGAATATTTTACTTTAGATGCGAGGAAATTAGAAACGAATATCAA